TCGCAGGCTGTCTGATGCCTGGACCCACTGCCCTACACTGAAGGAAGGCACGAAACTGGTAACCTATAAAGTTTTGGCCACATTTCTACTCAAATTTTAAGTATTTCTTCTCCATATACTCTAACCTGTCTTTACTCCTGGGGAAATGATTTTTCAAAAATGGAATGCAGTGCCTCATCCCAGTTGATATGAACCATTTTCCCTTGGCCTACTCCTCTGTAACAAGTGGTCAAGGCTCTCAAACAGCAAACTACATACAACTACAGTATGCCTAGTTCCTTGAACTTCAAATGGCTAATATTGTTAGGCAGCCAATGCCAGGATGAAGCAAGCACCCTTTAAAAACTGGTGTCTGAACCACCTCTTCACATTCCTGGATCTCCATAGTTACTTGAAGGCACAAATGTTTTCATGTATTCAAAGAGTTTTTTCCCCAGAGGAAAAGTGAATATACATGCACACTTTTCTTTATAGATTTGTTTTTATCTGTTCATTTCACAACAGGGCGGCAGAGAACTTTGGAGCTGGAAGGTAAACATACTCTCCTTTTCAACTGACTGACATTCAGTTCTTCCATACAGTCTAATTTCCTTGCCTTATGTGGGTAACATTATACTGTCTCACCACAACTCTCTTGGGCTTTCATTCCCTTACTTTCTGGGGGAGGCAATTCTCACCATGGAGGGCCCCTCTGCAGCAGAGAAAGGAAATTGGTCTGAAATCTCAGTGACACTCCTTAAATTAAGTTTCAGAAATTGTATTTTAGGGCAAACAGAACATGGAATGGGGAGGGGGGCACCAGCCAGACTTAAGCATCTGCTGAAATAGCTTAATTTGTCAAGTTTTTGTCCAGCTACTAAGTTGCTTGGGAGAGAGATTAATGCTGAAAATCTGGCTTGGCCCACTCTAACCCAAATCTCATCCCAAATTTACTTGTCATGCAGTGATTTTTAGAGAAATAAATCTGCATCCTTTCCTATATCCAAAGGATGAGAGTCATCTCCCTCCTTCAAGACACAAGCTACAGTCTTCAAATGTACTAATTATCCTTTATGCAGCCTGTGAAGCAAGACATATAAGGGGGTTAGAGCTTCTGAAACGCACAAAGAGAGGGGTGGAGGATGAGACTCTTTTTCCCGCAACAGATTAACTGATTTCAGGCTAGCTTATAGCCATTTTATTAATGGAATAATATGTTGTAATTGGAAATGTTAAAGTGCAGTTTTTAAATTAAAACATTTTATTAGCAAGCCCCCTCATAACAGTCATTACAATTTTGGGAGGGGAACGGTGATAAATGGAGGTAAATGGTTGCAACTCCCAATTGAACCCAGGGGAGGGGGAAAGCAGTATGGATAGCAGATATTTGTTAATTGCTTATTAGATGCTTATATGATATTGTTCATTTATGTTTTTCTTAAATAAATAAAATAATTTTGATTTTTTTAAAAAAAGAACATTTTATTAGCAGTCTTGAGCAACTGTGGGGAGAAGAAACATTTTAATAAATAGATTTGTATGTTGTGAGATAGGAGTTTTCACCCCAAGGACCTGCTGGGAAAGCATGGAATTTGTAACATAAAAGTGCCTCTGGGCATGTTCTGGGTGTTGAATGAATTTTTCAAGGGAATGAGGAACAAGGGAATTGCAAATCTTAGCCAGAAAACTCATACTTATCATGAAAGAACTTAGAAATTAGAATAATAAAGTGGAAAATTTAAAAAATCCAAAGCATGGGACTTGAATGTTTGCTCTTCATAAAATCAATAGGATTTAGGGAAAAAATGTTAAAGATAGGCACATTAATGTGAACGATACCATTATTTCTCTTAAAAGTCCCAGCTCACATGGGACAAAGGCCACCTCCTCCAACATAATTTGCCAATTTTGTGTTTCCACTTCCCTGCATTTTTCCTTTTAATTGCTGCCACATTTCACTAATAACTGCTTATCAGTACAGATTAATGCAGAAAACTGGGGCTCCCATGTGCCCCACATGGCTGCCATGTCCGAAGCAAAAGGTGTCAGTAAAAACTTATGCCCTAATAAATTGGTTGGGCTTTAAGATACAATTGGTTTGGTTTTAAGATACAATGAAGCTCTCCACTGTTAATGAAGCATGTCTGTGTCTCTTGGCATTCTCCTTCTGCTTGAATGGACTACAGAACTCTACATCCTCCTTTATTATGACTGCAGTATGCCATAACATGCTAAAGATACTACACCATATTGCTTCACTGGGTTTCCACAGTGGAAGACAATCAGTGGCCGCAACTGTGTTTTCTTTCACAGAAGAAGAAGAAAAACACAAGTAACCAGTCCACTTGTCTCACATTCCTAGAACCAGCAGCTTTAGAAGCTGCAGAGCCAAAAGTACTGGGCAGCAAAGACGAAAGGGCAACCAAAGCAGGAGATGAACAGGAACAATGTCCATTTAATAACCAGAGATCTGGAATTAATTACAAAGTTGTAAGTGACACAATTCATAACAATACGTTAAAAATCCTTGAGGTTTGTATTCTTTATGGACTTAATGCTTGAATTCTCAATTTATGAAACTTGTTATCACGCAAATTATCTCCCTGTTTAAAAAACAGTCTCTTCATCTTTGTCACATGAGGGTATTTAACTTTAAAGACTCCAGAGACAGTGAAGAGTAACCTTAGTTTTAAACTTCGTGAATAAAAGCTATGTCTAAAAAGTAACAGCAGAAATAGCACCCATACTATTAGAAAACTAACAAAGGTAAAATATATCCCCAGTCTCATAAATCAATACCCATTAGAGGTGGCCCAATTTAAGTGTGAGGATAAAATGAGAGTTTTCATATCAACTTCAGATTATGAAGAATACTTTCTGAACAAGCAACCATTGTTCATATGTCCATTATTGACTTGTAATGTAAGACACACATGCCACTCTGATCAGGACTACAGTGAGGAGCAAAGGTCTAAAAACCTCTTTACTCTTACATTAGTGCAGTGGTGGTGAACCTATTTGGGCTCACGTGCCCAAACTGGAAAGAAAAAAAAATAACCAGCGGGTGGCATGCCGTGGCAGAACTGGAAGTGGAGGCAGAAGGGGGAATCCTGGGCACAGAGACCCCACTCCCCCACTCCAGATCCGCCACCAGCGCCAGCTGCTCCAGGTCCACCTGTTCCAGATCCACCTGTTGAAGCGCTAGCACCGGGCTGCAGCCATCTTCTCAGGTTTGGTTGCGCGGGGGGGGGGAGTAGCGAACTGGTGACTTATGGCTCGCGTGCCTGCAGAAATGGCTCTGCATGCCAGCTGTGGCACTCATGCCATCGGTTCGCCATCGCTGCACTAGGGTGTCAATACAAAACTGCCCCATCCATTCCTGAAAGGAAAATAAACATTCTGCTTTCAAGATAGTCATGGCAAGCACCCATTCTAGTTGGGAGAAGGGGGGCAGAAGGCATAGCAATCACTGATGGCCAGAATAAAATGCAAAAGCGACTATTTAGTTATCCTAAGTGAGGGGGAAATAGAGAGGACCAGACAGGTAGGCAACCAAGCATTCAGTCATGCAGAGATTTTCTGCCTCTATTTGGATGCAGGCAGGAGGGGAATGACTAGAGACAACCTATGCCAGAGGTTGTACACCGCTTGCCTTGCCTTCAGGAATAAGCTGCCCTTGACTCAAGATCACAGTGTTAATGTCATGTGTACTGTGGCCTTCAGAAGAGGCATTACGTCCTGAGTAAAAGAAGGTTGTCTCATTTATACAGCCCATCATCTGCATTTTCCATAATGAACAAAAAGTTTTTTTTAATTGCTACCTTATCATGATTTGAATCCTTTTGACTCATGAAAAATATGTTGTTTAATCAGACCATTTGCTCTATTAGATTTGAAGCCCTGGAAATCATACTTTCTGAAGCTATGCGTTTTCTACATTATTTAAATACTAGCCGTTGGGTTGAATCTCTCAGAAATTGAGCAGTGTTCCTTCACTCACTGGACATAATGGGGCAACTGGTGGAATAAATAACTTTCTGTATTTATTCCAGATTATTAATATGTTTGAGGAAGAGTGTTACTACTTTTTATTATATTTGTATTTATTTATTGATTTGATTTGATTTAATTTATATACTGTCCATCTAGCAAACTGCTACTCTGGGCAGTGTACAACAGAAATGAAAAGACATAATTTATGTAAAACAAATTATATAAAAATGAACTATAACAACCTAAACCTAAGTAACGATGCAAACTCAATACATGTATTCTCATGTCTGAAGGAAATAGTTACCAAACTCACATAAAATTATTGTGTTTAACCAAATTAGTCTATTAGGCTGAGATATCACATCTGAAATATGTCTTAAATGAGTAGCAATATAGAATAATCTTATATTAGGAAGTCCTAAATCTCCCCTTTTTTCAGATCTATATTTCCTCTTATTAATCCTAGACTTCTGATCTCCAACACAAAATTTAGCAATCGTATTTTGCCAAACTCTTAGCTCTTCTTCACTAGCTCTTCATCAATAATACGATGTAGAAAAACTATTCTTAGGTAAAATCTTCATTTTATATGCTGCAATTCTGCCAGACTATGACAATCCAATTTTCTTTAAATCTTCAAACGTATTCATGATTACTTGTTTCCAGTAACCTTCACTGCTAACCCAACTACGGGCTCATCTCTGAGGGGAGAAATTATTTTCCACACTTAATCGTTCTTTATTTCGCATGCCTGTGACCAGAAGTGACAAATTATAAAGAAGCCATGATAACCTGTTGTCTCAAAATAAATTATCTGGAAGGCTGATTAAAATATTCGCTGCCACAGTATCTTTACTCCAGAAAACAGCGAAGGGTCTTTAAGGCTCGTTTCCAAAAGGGGAGGCCAAGCACGTTCTGATGGTGTAGGGAGGTTATCTGGCAGTACAGTACATGAAATGGCGCCCATTTTCCCCCCCTCATTGGAGCCCTCCGAGTGGAAAGAACCCCATCCCAATAAACAGACTTACCGCCCGGACACCCCCAGGCAGAGGCCCCGAGGCCTTCCATTTCATTCTCTAGGTGGCGCCACCATAGATTACTAGGGGGCAATCCCACCCTTTGGCAATTCCCACGACGCAACACTGCCCCCTGCAGGGCCCCAGGGGGTGATGCGGTTCCCCCGAGAATGCGACTGTGGTTGCCAGCATCTCCTCTATTCCCCTCGTTTTACTTAGCTTGACAAACCCGGGAAGCTCAAGGAGGGCTTCCCAACGAGCGTTCCCGCCCTAAGCCCTTCGAATACTGCAATTTGCAAGGCTGAGCCCTATGACGCCATTTTCGCATCAAATAGCTTGGGACTCCGGGCAACAGCGCCGGGAGAGGAAAGGCAAAAGGGGACCAAATCAGCTTGCAGCCTTCCACTCTTTCCAGGCTGTGAAGTATTTCGGGAGCAAGCCGGGACCGTGCTCTTTCAGCTCTCCCCGGGGCCAAAGGAGATGAGAAAAGAGAGCCCCACTGGCTCTGCGCACCGGCCCGGCCGCCCGTGCGGAGAAGAGCGCGGCCAATTGCAAAAAAAGAGAGCAGGGCTCCTATGCCTTTGACAATGCCGCAGCCGCGGGGATTTGAGGAGGCGCCCTTGGCACGCCGGCCGCTGCAATCCCTTCTTCCACACAGCTAAAATGTGCAATCCCTTCTTCCACACATGCGGCAGCCCTGTTGTCTTTTCTCACTCAGCCACTCGAAGGGGGAAATAATCACACTGTATTGCTGTTTCCACCCTTTCCTTCCCCAAAGTTAGCACGGGAAAATGTGCTATCAAGTTGAACATCAGCACAGCAGCAGCGCCCTGCTTGGGCTAGTTGTCTGTTTAATAACAGCCATAAAGAAATTTCTTATTGTTGAATAGAGTTTGCTCTCGGCTCCCCCCCCCCGCCTTTGGGGAATGCTTGGGAAATAAACAAACAAACGATAGCTTTAGGAACAGTCACGCGCCCCTTTCCACTACAGCAAATAGTATTGTCTGTGGGGTGTTGTCTCCTCTCCAGCCACCATCCGTCGGCGTACTTCTGCCTCCTTACCCCCGAATATGAGTGTCATTATCCTCCACCACCACCAGCAGCTTGCTGAGCCCGCTTCTCCTCTGTCCGCGGTTGCGCACCAGCCGGTACAGTATGTAGGTTCCCTTGCTTTTCCCATGGCAGTGGCTCAGAAAACTTGGGAGACCCAGAAGTGCTTGAGCTACATCTCCTAGACCAGTGGTTTTTAACCTTTTTGAAAGAAACGCCCCCTTGAGCCATTGAGGAAGTTATCACTGCCCCCCTCCCTGCGGTGATGGTATCTTTCTAATTTGTTTGTTTGTTTGTTTGTTTGTTTATTTAATTATTTATTTATGACCCTTAAATCCAATGACCCCTGAAAACAAAATTCAGTTCTAAGAAAATGAAATGCCCCAAAAACATTTAATGATTTAGTTGCAAGCGAATTTTAAGACGCAAAAAGAAATATAAAAAGGGCATAAAAACAAACCGCAATGCAGGAACTAAAAATTTCAAGACAAAAACTCTGAAACTAAATTAAGATTGGAGGAAAATATATATTCATGCACACTGTAAAAAGGCTGCAGCCATCTTAACAGGTTTGGCTTGCTCCAGGGCCCCCTACCACCCCCCTTCTGCTCCAGCGCTCCCACACCGCCCCTTTTCGTTCTATCGCCCCCCTGAAAAATGAAATCGCCCCCTGGGGGGCATTATCGCCCACGTTAAGAACCACTGTCCTAGACTAGAGAGCTTCCGGGAGACAAGAACAGCCGTGGCCCCAGGTCTGGGAACTTTTGCTCTTGGGGGTGGTGGTGGTGGTGCAGAAAGAGTATCTCTTCCCAGGTCCCCGTTTGCTGAAGGGGGCTGGAATAATGCACAAACCTAGTAGGAAGAGTCGCTCAACTCAGTGGAGTTACCTCAGAGTTCGGGTAAGGAAGACTGTTGTAAGGTGGAAGACTGACTCACTCCTCACTAGAAGTGCCCTCGTCCCTCCCTGCTTGCTATAATGCTGGGCTATGCTGGCACGGGCAGGTGGAGGGGGGCATCCCAACGCCACCCTGGAGGGCCCCCATCGCTCACCTACTGTGCAAGAGGAGCAGACTAGAAACTAGCGTTCTGTTGTTCGCTTTTACTTCCCTCTCTTTGTCCTGCTGCTTTTTCAAAGAACGCAGAGCTGCATCCCTCTTTTACTCTATTTGCTGCCTCCTTCTCCACCCCATCCCGTGTTATCCTTGATCATCCTGTGGAGTAAAGTGGAGTCTTGGCCTAAGACCCCTTAGTAAGCTTTCCAGCAGAAAAAGGGACCTGGACTGGCTTCTAACCGGACTTCTACCAAGGCTGTAACCCAGTCATTTCCAACCTGCTGCCTTCCAGATATTCTGGACTACAACTCCCATCCTTCTGCCTTCCTGACTGGGGAGGATGTGGTCAAATACATCTGGAGGGCACTGGCTCAGCCAAGACAGCATGTTGAACAAAGTATATTTTCATTCCAAAACCCTGTACTTCAATCGCTTTATTGAAAACTGAATGCATATATTATTTTTAAAAAACATACAGTACATGCATTGTAGGGCAGCATTTATAGTGCATAAATTGCTTGATTAAAAATAAGTCTTTTACAGACTAAATGAAGCCCTGACTCTATATTTTGCCACTCTTTCACATATCATTGTGCCGTACTCCAAATGCATTGAAGCTGGTATTTTTAAAACTACGTTGAATGAATATAGTTAAAAAGATTTATCGTGGAAAGCTTCAAGTAAACTTTTATTTGTACAGTGCACTGTTATCTCTGGGTTAAGAAGACAGCATGTTGAACAAAATACGCTTTCATTCCAAAAACTTGTATTTCAAACCCTTTATTAAAAACTGAATGCACATATTATTTTGAAAAAATGTACATGTTTTTGTATTGTAGCACTGAAAGCTTTATGTTCTTCCCCCATTTCATTCTGAAAATAAATGTTTGATAAACAAGAGAACACAGAATAGAGTGAGTAATGGGTGGGATTTGGATATGCACTTAAAAGGCATATTTGTGTTACTGTTCAAAAACATCCAGTTCACTTTCCCAAAATAATGTGCTCTGAAATTCAGCGATATGGCTGTATTTTCAGGCTTAAAAAAAAAAAATCAGCTATCCCTGAGAACAATATCCAAACCTTTTTAACAAACGTGAGGGCTGGATAGGTGAGCGTAAAATAATATTTATGTGAGCTACATATAGTGTTGTTGTTTATAGCTAAAAAAAAGCTCAGAACCTATTTCAAGTGAAGTTTTTCTAACGTAATGTTTTATTCTGGAGGCTAAAGTGTTCATTCACTAATGCATGTTTTATGTCAATAGTGAAGCAGTAATAAGCATCAACATTTGTGATACTGTTGGTGTCAGAAATCACTGCTTGTGCCAGATTCAGAACACATGAAGAATGTACTCTGCATATGCAGTCACCTCGATCAGAGTGTCCTTAAATCAGTTTGTAAAAAGTGAGTGTGGTGGTCTATGAGTGAAAATGAAATGCATGCACAAGAGCATGCAGATTTTTCCAGTTTTCCAGAGTTTTCCTTCAGGCCAGGTAATATAAATCTTTCACACACACACCCCAACTTTCTGTATCGCCTTCTGTGAAAAGGATTTCTGAGGAGCTTCAAACCTTGCAGATTATGGTGGCATTTTTCTTGATTAAAAGCCGGTATATGAGGAAGGGGCAGAGCCACACATAGTCAGTAGCAGCTCATAACTTAAGAAAGCTACATGTACTGAGCTCATTTACCACACACATCCCTCCCCAGTGTAGTTAGAAGGAGGGGAAGATTTAAAGACAGGAACTAGACAGTTCCAGGTAAGTTTTATGCAGCTTGTGTTATATGTGTTATGCAGCTTTGTTAAATTAGATTTATACATTAAAAAAAATCTCAACATCCAGTTATGAGAGAAAATTGCTGCCATATCACCCAGTATATTATTTTTCTTACTGAAATTGCTACTGTCCTTTTAATGAAAGATAAACAATTTGATTAATTGGTCTTCAGTACACACTGTGTAATAGATTATAATGAATTTGTAACTGTCTGGGCCTTATTATGTTGATAATTAAGATGACAGGAATACAGTTCAAATACACACAGGCTCCTTTGATCTCAATTTGCAATTCTAAATGGGTGTGTTGAACCAGAATGCTAGAAGAATAATGAAATTTTTCTCTGCCAACCTTTCAGAATATCCTGATAAGCCTACAGCTTTCCACTCAGCTGAATTCCGGCTGAAATGGCTGACAGAATGTGGGATATTCCTTGCTTCTGTTTTATTTCTAATCTAAAAGCTAAGGACTTTGCAGCGATTGATACAGATTTCCCTTCATTCATTCCACATTTCTCAGAGATGTTTTTAAAGTTGGCTTTTTATGACTTTGAGTGGCACCTATGCCATTTTAAATGTTCAAAACCAATAATATTATTCAATACCATAGCAGTCTGGTAAAACAAAATGCCATCATCAAAATAATAAAGGCAGAGATCAGACAGTGTGTAACCTACTCACACTTTGTTTTAGGTCCATAATCAAGGTAAATCTCATGATATATAGCACAAATGTTTGGGGAAGGCTTAAGAAAGTAGCCCTTTTGATTAAAGGTGGCAATGTGGTGGTAACAGGGCCTGCAGAGAAAGACATGATCGGCTGAAACTGCATAATGTGCATAATGATCATAATAATTATTATGTGCTATCAAGTCAGTTTTGACTTATGGCAACCCTTTTCAGGGTTTTCCAGTGATTAATTGATTGATTGATTGATTTTATTGATTGATTCCCTGCCTTTCTCCTTAAAAAAGGCCCAAGGTGGCTTACATAAGTTACCATTTCCTCCCTCTGGGAGTGTCCTGAGACTGTGCAGCTTGTCCAAGGCCACACAGGTTGACTTTACTTGCAGGATGCACAGCAGGGTATCAAACTCCTAACCTCTAGCTCTGCAGAAAGATACCTAAACCACCAACCTATCCAGCCAGCTAGAAAAATTCATAGATGGGCAATATCTTCATTAGGACTGAATGTCACAAAGATGTCC